CACTAGCTAATACATTAACAGAACAACTCACACCTGCAGTTTAAGGAAAATTAATCTCATGAATGCAGCTAGTTTAAAGCAGAACTCCGGGTAAAATTTGTATTAACTTTTGCAGTGGAGCTACTCCCACATTGCAAGGGTTAAGTGCTAATTTCTGCCTAAGTTAATAAATAACAAAGATATACTCCCCCCCCGCCTGTCTCCTCCTCCACTGCAGCAGAGGGTATAGAATGTGATTACCCTGGAACCTTAGGCGGCAGGAGTGGAGGTGGAGCAATCCGAAAGGGAGCAAGCCGAGGATCAGGTGAGAATTAAGCTGGCCATACACCTTTTCTTATAGATTTTTTTTATCAGCGTATGGTCAGATAGATACAAAAAGTGCAACAGATTCCTCCATCTATGCTAAGCTGTGTGGATGGAGGAATCTCCCACTGGGCCAAGCTTCAGTATCTTGCTAGTCGGCCCCGCTGGCTCTCAAATAACCTGAACAATCTGATTGGACGCAGGCATTGTTCGGGTATTTTGAGAGCCAGCATCGCTGACTAGCAAGATACTGAAGCTTGGCCCAGTGGGAGATTCCTCCATCCACATAGTTTAGCGTAGATGGAGGAATCTGTTGCAGTTTTTGCATCTCACCATAGAAAACCTGCAGATAATCTATAGGTGTATGGCCAACTTAACTCTTTTTTTTAAACCTATAGAAAGCGAGTACTTAACCCTTGCAGTGCGGAAGTAGCCCCACTGCAAGAGTTAATACAAATGTTACCTAAAGTTCTGCTTTAATAAAGTTTATACTAGGCAGACTCAGGGTATTCTCACAGTTTAGAGTTTTTGTTGACTCATGGGTGCTGTTTGTCGAAAAAAAAAATTCTGCTTGCCGCATCTTTGGTATGGCCATAGTGCGGAGACTCAGATGAACCTGAGACTAGAAGGCAAAAAGAAAAGTAGGCCTCAAATTACTGTATGATGTACAATATGTTTATGTAGCAGACATTCGGAGCAGCAGCTTTGTAGAAATGGCGTAGTGCTTGCTCCTTACCAGTGGATATTCCCAGGTAATAAATGCCAGTATAAAAACAAATAGTGATCGAGTGCTATCCATAAGACATGGAATTATTATGTATTTTTGGTATGATTTTTAACTGGATTCTCCTCATTGCAGTGCTTGTAAAAGCAGCTAAACACATCTAAAACCCACTGTGCTTAAAATGCAGAGCATGAAAAACACAGGTGTGAATATAGCCGTAGGCCTTTGTCACGTTAACATCTTTGTAATAGACATCCGTAGCAGCTACAGATTTCTCTTATGATTTACTCTGGTGGTTAAAGCTGCTTCTAGATCTGTCGCCATTACTTCTTCATCCAGCTACAAATTGCTGGTGTTGAGTGCTATAGTCATCTACAGTGCATTGGATCACACGAGTAACTACTAAAGACGATGCATTTATAGCTAGCTCTATGTGCTGCTTAAAGCAAGTACAGTTATTGAGCTGCAAATCACCATGACACAGACCTGACGTTCACTGCAGTTCAGTTTTTTAGAAGCAACAGAAATACCAAGGAGAGCCATTCTGTACTGTTTCAGATCAGTCATGTGACATGCTCTTAATATGGCTTTACATCCGATAAACAGCATCACTCTTATTTCTTTATGGTTACAGTCTAGTAAAATATTTGTTATGGTTGTTTACAAGCACATATGTTTGATGTAACTTTCAGTCCTGAATTTTTGTATGTTGTCGTTGTTCGTTTTCGCCTAGGGACTAAATTAAAAAGTTATAGTCACCCGATCCTCCGAGCTGGCTTGCTCTTAGACTGGTCATTCCAGCCTTGTTCCCCCTCCACTGCAGTGGATTAAGGATTCTTGAGTCATCACATTCTGTACACAGTGTATAGGACGTGAGGTTGCCGAGGGACATACTATTGCTGCAGTGGATGAGAAGATTGGCTAGAGGGAGCACTGTCACAGCCGGTCTGCTGTGAGGTTCGGGTGAGTATAACTTTTTATTTAGACAAAAACGAGTAGTTATTCGTTGCAGTGCAAGGGTTAATAAAAATGTTTCCTGAAGTTGTTCTTTAACTACATTATATGTACCTGAAGACAGCCACGTTTGCTCATTATGTATACAGGTTCTGCATATTCCTTAGTAATATTGCACAGCAATTACAATTTACTGACTCTCTCTGTCCCTGCAAGTATATGTGACTATTCAGACCAATTGAAAGCAATATACTTTCTTTATGATTAATTGATCTTATATCAGTAGTCATTCAGCAGGGATACTGGTCATAGTCTTACATCTAGAGATAACTAGTGGAGGGAGAATCTACAGATCTCTATATAAAGTATATTGAATAAAGTATGGAAAAGCCAGACTGTATAAATGTGAAAGTCACATTCATTTAGGTTATATTTTGCAATATGCAAATTTTATCCCTCCAATGTGAGTGTAAAGTGTCTTTAAAGCCAAAACATTTTTTAGTTTTGAATAGAGTAGGAAATAGTGCATGAAACTTGTGGGTTTTTTTTGTCTCCCCAATGCGAGGGGAAATCCCTTCTTAGACATTTGTCATATTGGCACTGGGTTGGGAGATCTCATTGCCTGTTCCTGTCACCGGGCTAATGTGTGGAAATTCCCATCATCTCATTTCTGTGCTGGAGACAGTAGTAACCAGGACCAATAGAGAGGGTGACTGACAGACAACAATACAAACCTGAAATGGGTTTTAATACTTCCTCACACTTTTCAAAACTAAAAAAAACAACTTTTGGATGTGCATGCACTTTAAAAAGTAAAAATTAAATTGGATTCGTCTTAACATTTACCCTTTGTTATGTAATTTAGATTTCCAGAAAGTATAGTAGATATCAAGTAAAGCTAGCTATTACAAAGATCCAACAGACAGACGCAACAAATATAGGAAATTTAGCAACTGACCACAGAGGAAGGTTTATGTCACAAAGTGGCCAAATGTTACATGCAGAAACTTGAAGCTGCCTTTTAAGCAATGCACATTTTCCAGGTTTATTACCTACCATTGTAGATTATAACCATTCAGAAATGCGTGTTTGTAATCAACGGTTAGCCCAGTGGAAAAATATTATCAGTGTTCTGCTGTTGAGCCTGTCACTAAGCTGGGCTAATTCATACAGAGTATATGATACAAGATGATACAAGTATTTTTTTGAACAATTTCAACTGGGGTTGCCCAAGAGATTGAAAATAACTCCTTTTCTTTTAAACTGCATGCAATATTTTTCTCGTTTTTTTGTGACATATGGGACGGCCGTTCATAATGGAGAAAAAGATGGTCGGCTGATAGTGTCTCCCATCTGAATTACCTCCCCCAACTTCAGGGGAAAGTATTAGACCTCTTTGGATAACATAAAAAGGAAAGTAAGAAAAAGGAAACAAACTGTAGTTCCTACCTACACTACAAAAATTAGAAATAGGCTAATAAACTGGCCAAAATGAACAGATCTACAGAAAAATATCCTCTACTGTCAAGAACATTGACAACTATTGGATTATGTTATCTGCAGTTTACTGACCATGCACAGTGAGTTTGCGTAGGGGTTCCCAGAGACCTGAAAATGATTATTATAACAGTCACTCAAAGGTAAAATAGTTGAGAGAGTTTGTTCTAGAATGTAAAGTTGTGTTTCCATATAATATTCTTACTGAATTAAATTAGCCGTTGCTAGGATTTTGCATTTTATGCTGTAGATATTTCAGTTATCTTTATTGTGTGCTGGACATATTATTAATAAAATGTGTCTCTGTTCTTATTTTGCAGTGTTTGAACTAGTGAAGCGAGGGTAAGTTGGAAAGTACAGACAGAAGGGTTGCGATTTTAAATTTTAACGTTTGAGTTTTTAAACTGTTTCTATCTCATCTTTTTATTTATGTACGCACAATTAAAGGATTTCCAGTGAACTACGGGTTAGGGGCGCTTTGTCTGTTTGAAACATGAGACTTAGCACTCTAATAATGAGGTGTCACTGGGATGAGTCTTTCCTTTGTGTGTGTAAATTTAGTTCAGCTTGAACTATTGAGGTCTGTGTTTTATTTAAACAGGCTAAAAGGAGATATAACAAAACATGGATTTAAAAATGTAGAGAGGAGCAGAGAGCCTAACCTTTTTGGCTAAAAAATACCAATTATGATTATATAATATTCCATATTTACCTGAAAAAAGACTCTGTGCAAGTGGCAGAAGTGATCATTGAGATCTGGACTCAGTTGTATGCATTGAACACTCACAGTCAGCAACTTGTCCTTCAGTTACTGAAAATCACTCATCCTCATAGTACGAGCCTATGTGTGGCAATGAAACTGACACACGTCGGCTCAATAGATCGGGAAGTGAGCGAACACATACCGTCGCTCGCTCACTTCTAGATTATCTCCCTGCAGAGAGTGGTGACTGTCAGTCACCGCTCCCCGCAGGGATTCCCCACCCCCTCCATGCTCCAATCCTGCAGCGCTGGAGGAACGGATGGGGTAGGGGGCGGGCTCAGCTGGCTCTGCCCCTAGATAGGCAGAGCCAGCTGTCACTCATGCAGCTGGGTGGATCTCGATAGCATTGTCAGGATCCGTCCCGGCTGCGGCGGTCTCATTATACCGCGAGCTGTAGCTCGCTATATACTGAGGTTTGGGTCATGGGAGGATGTTAGTATATGTCCTCCCGTGACCCTAAAGAGAACTATGGGGAAAAACATTTACTCGATAGTTCTCTTTAAAGAAAACAGGATGTTGGCTTGTCTTTTTATTATGTATAGGATACACACACTGGCCAACATGTTAGTACTTGAAGCTAACTGTTTTCGATACTAACGTCAACTTGCCAAAATGCATTGAGGTTGATTAATAAAGGCAAATAGACTGTTCACTTTGTAAGGGAATTTGCATTTTGCAGGGGACATTTCCCCTTAGCTTCATGAGTGAAGTGAAATTTCACTTTGCAAAGAATATCCAATCACATGCAAGGAAGATAAAGAAAGTATTTTTTTCTTGCACATGATTGGATGATGGAAGTCAGCAGAGCTTCACCTCATTCACTAAACTATGGGGAACCTTCCCCTGCAAAGTGCAATTTCCCTTGCCATGTAAACAGCCTGTTTGCCTTCAATAAACCAATCCCTGTGTGTCTGACAGGCTGATTAGCTTCCACCCAATGCATATGTTTCTGTATGATCCACCATAGAAGTTAAAATCTTGCTGTACAATCTCTATACAAATAACTTTAGATCTGCCGAAACTATGTAATATGGGGACCTACCTGAACTATCCAACCAATTTGTATCCAATCAGGCAGGCTCTTGCAGCACATGCTTGTTGGTAGCTCTAAAGGAGATAGTTATATCAAATGGTAAGGTGTGTGGTGAGCTTTAGACTGTGGGGGCATACACCAATGTGAATAGGAACCATTTAAAGTGCAGGGTAGCTTGTTGGTGACAAGTGAATACAAAAGGTAAATATATAATAGGGGAATTTATCAAAACTGGAACAGAGAATCTGGAGCAGTTGTCCATAGTAACCAATCAGCTTCTCTCTCTCTCTATCTCTCAGTTTGTTCAGGAAAGCTTTGAAAATGAAAGACAGAAGCTGATTGGTTACTATGGGCAACTGCTCCAGATTCTGTCTGCCCCAGTTTTGATGAAATGCTCTCACTGTATATACAGTAATGTATTCACATGCACAAATATACTGTATGTTTTGTCATTGGATATGTGCCAATCAGAGGACTGCAGTGTCTTTCAGTTCGTTTTTTGGACAGGAAATCAGTCCTGATAAGATATGATTCTACAATGTTTACATAGCTGCTGTTACCTATAATTTTTTATTGCAGCTCAGTTTGTGTTTAAGACTGTTTGTATATTAATTTATCAGTCTAGCCTGGAAGTGATATGTATCATATGAAGAAAGCATGACGAGGATATGCAAAACTTCCTTTCTTTGGAAATGGCTTTTGTATACCGCATTTTTGTGAACTTACAAAACAAAAGGCTTTTGTATATATTGTATTTAGCGTGTATGTAAATACACTCTTTAGAAATTCCAAACCTTCAAATATTTATTTCCTATTTTCACTGTATATAGTTATGACTTTGTATCACTGCAGAGTAAGTAGAACCATCAGTCCCTGAGGAATCTATACTTGAAACATCCCTACTATGAATACTATTACTATTAGTATACATTCCTTCTCTAGATCCAGTTGAGTCAGATTCTATGCATATAACAATACCATTGCTTGATGAAGCTATTGTTTTGATGGAACAATTGTATCTTTCCGAACTCGCTTACACTGAATAGATGATTTGTATACGTTTTTTTGATCCAAAAAAACAACAATCACCTCCTTCTATGCCAGGGTTGTGGAACCTCCGGCCCTCCAGCTGTGGTGAAACTACAAATCCCATTAAGCATTGCATGATTCTCACAGCCACAGGCATGACTCGCGGAGACAGATGCTTCATGGGATTTGTAGTTTTACCACAACTGGAGGGCCAGAGGTTCCCCACCCCTGTTCTATTCTCACCTTCAGGACTTCATGGGCATCTCCCATCCTCTGGAACTCCTTACCACAACCTATCTATCGATTTCCTAATCCGTCTGCCTTTAGGCGTTCCCTGAAAATTCACTTATTACGCACTATTCCACCTCCTCTTAAAAAGACTGTCTACATCTACTCCTTTAATCAGCTCATCCCTCACATTTGTTAACTTCTTTATTACTTGCCCCAGATCAGAAGCTCTCAAGAGCAGAGTCCTTCTAATACTTTTGTATGGTATTGTATTGCAATTGTTCTGCCTCCCCATATGTTGTAAACAGGAATGACTCTAGCTTTTTTGCCACCTGAGGTGCTGGAGGGGTGTCGGGTGGTGGGCTTTATTCCGCCGAGCTCCTGGCAACTGGAAGGTGTCCTGGTGAGCTCCTGCCAACTAGTGACCACACTGGTTGCCATGAGCTCGGAAGGGGACGCCGCCGAGAGTGTCCCAGGTTGTTAGGAGTTGGGCGGAGAAATGTGTATGGCCCCTACACATCTCTCCGTCTGGCTCTTAGCAACCAGGAATGCTTTGGCCAGAAAGAGGGCAGCAGGCACACTGTAAACATTGTGCAGCACAGCGGCCATGCCACTGTGCCTGGCGCCCCCCCCATGAGATGCCATCTGAGGCAAAAGCCTTAGGCTGCCTCTTATAGAGATAGCCTTGGTTGTCAAACTCTGCTCAAACTGTTGGCACTAAAAAAAAATCATGTGTACAAACAATAATCGTGCCTTAGGAAAAGTTTAATGGCATTCCTGGTAAATAAAGTGTATGAGCCTTGACCTGTAAGCAAGCTTTGCTGACCATGTTTATAGAAAATATTGCGTTGGTCCCAAAACCATGTCAATGCAATAATGTGGGCCAAGTGGAACAAATCTATCACTTCTGGTGGATTTTTCATATTCTTTGAAACGGGCCAAATTCACAGTGACAAGTGCACAGAGACATTTACCTGCTCACTCACTCTCTAAACCATAGCAGCCCTTTTGACCAATGCCAGAACTACTGGATTGCCAGTGAGGGCCCAGCAAGCCTGTTTGGATCCAGCTGGGAATAGAGGACTATTAAACATATATAAGTGCTTCTACTTTTCATGTGTCATTTTGATCAGAATAGGAAGATATGGATATGTACAGATCAGCAGAGATTTTCCAGTTATAAAACTATTATCTTTCACTTACACACATTACAGCTGTCACCGAGTCTGTCTGTTTAGTTAGTGGCGACTGTTACCATGACGACAGCACAGATAGCAGGAATAGAAACGCTTCCTTTAACCTCTGAAGTGCCGTGTTGTGGTTTAATGGGGTTTGTGTAGATTCATTTTCAAATTTTAACTGAACACACTGAAGAGAGAAGCTGATTGGTTACCATGCACAGCTGCTCCTGATGTTGTTGCCTGCTCCAGTTTTAATAAATTCCCCCCATTGTTTACCTAATCCAAAAATACAGAATGAAATTTATGGAAACGGCTGAATCCAGTTCTTTAGGTCTCTTTTATTTAAGTCGAGCTGGCCATATACTGCATTTTTTTTCTCGTTCAGCCCACTCGATTTGCCAGTCCATGCCAAACATTGTTGATAGAGGAATCCACACACACCCTACTCGCCATTCTCCTGTATTTTGCAGTCACTATTTGGCTGAGAATTTTTAGACCGTCTCCCTTCTTTGAAAAAAAAGAGATAATTTTTCAAGCCGCCTAACATTTGATTAGGTCAGATCAGCAGAATTTTTATTAAGACTTTCAGGGTTATTCACAAAAGGGTGAAGAGTTTGGAGAAGGCAGGAGAAGTGAACAATCTAGGACAACATAGCTGATTTGGAAAAATTCTCTAATTCATCTCACTTTCCGGTTCAGCTATGTTGTCCTAGATTGTTCACTTCCCCTGCCTTCTCGTAACTCTTCACCTTTTAGTGAATAACCCTGTTGGAATTGTTTCTAATGGATAAAATGGGGTCACATGTTTTTTACTATGGAATGGGTGTCTTGTATATGTGTTTTGTTTTCTCATTCTGCTTGGCCATGTGCATCATTATTTAAGGTGACACTAAGCTCAGGGTTAAACCTTAAAAATGCGTCCAGGTACCTTGAAGAGTGTGTACTTTTGTTCCCCATGGTCCCTGTTTGTGTTATAAAGAAGCCACCACTCCAAGCTATCTCCCGTGATGGACTAGAATCTCGTGTTTAGTTTACTAATTTGTATTGAAGTTGTAGCCCATCACGGGAGAGAGCTTAGAGTGGTCGCTACTTTACAACAGGGACTATGGGGAACAAAAGTAGCCACCCTCCAGAAGGAAGGACAGTGTCAGCACCAATTCAGAGATGATTTGAGGATGTACAGCCGAGTGATACACAAATAAGATACATTTTTGTTAATAATTAGGGTACTTCAATGCATTTTTAAGGTTTAACTCCTGAGTTTAGTGTCACTTTAAGCTAGAAGAAGGTAAATAGCAGAAGTGAAAATGTGGAATGCAGAAACCTTCTTTTTTAAAATGTGGCTACAAACCACAATCCAGTCCCAGGAGTCATACAGTTTGTCCACAGATATAAGCAGCAAAGCAGCTTTGTGTTTAACGCAGGCCCGGCCATTTTGGTTATGTCAGGAACATGCATGCTAAGTAATGCATATGTACAGTATTTATTACCTTTCAAATCGCATAAGCCAACCTGCCAAACATTTGGGAGTCATCCAGTCCAGTGAAGAGTCTATCAAATAGATAAAAGTAGCTATGATGTTTCTTCACTAATAACAGCAGGAAAACATTGAAAAAGAAGTTGGGTACATTGCCTGTCCTGTGCCTGAAATTTGTCCAGCTTTGGTCTTACTTGCTCCCCAGGCATGTAGTTTGCAGAAAAAAGCAAAGTATTCAGACCACTTGATTTACCATACTGTTTGTCCCTAATGCATACTATACATCCCAGAATAATAATTATTTGTGTTTTAGGGCAGTGATGGATATACCAACTACGAAACCACTTACAGGGGACCAGGCCAGGTTCTACTTCCAGGATCTAATTAGAGGAATTGAGTTCTGTGAGTTTTTTTTGCCTTTTTGTTAGTTCAAATAATATACTTTCTCTTTCTTACAGGTTCACTTTTAATTAAAAACTCTTTTTTTTTATATGTATACAAAGACTAAAGTTTATATAAGACTAAAGTGTATCTAAATCCAAGAACAAAAATGTAAAACAAAACAATTACAATGGTATATTATACAAAAGGGAGTAAATAGGAAATGTTCACTGATAGGGTGTACATACACTTTGACTGTTATAGATCCTTAGCTTGAAGTGTTGATCACTGATGTCAGAGTAGTGGAAATGCTGAGGCAGCTTTGGTTCAGAAAGAGTGGAACAGAAAGGTGCAGTCTAGGGAAAGGTTCTAGGTAAGACATAAGATTAGATATTCCCTAAATTTTGTTAGTACTTCACAGTGCAAAGAAGGCTTCACTGATATACAGCATTCTGCTACTGCTGACACAGTCATAGATCAGCTTCAGACTAGTCCTTTAAGAATATAGTTTGCTAATTTGCGCGTTTAACATATTCTGCAGCCAGATTAAGAAGCCCAAGCCTGGTAGGGCACAATAGTACTGAGGACCAGCAGAAGACCTGCAAGCTCCATGATGCCTACATGATCTTTGTAATTTATTTTAGTGCTAGGTTCTATCACTCGCATATTGCTGTTGGCATGATCCAATTCATAAAACTGTACTGTCTTTGCAGTGCATTATCAGAAGATTATACACCGGGATGTCAAGCCGTCCAATCTTTTAGTGGGGGAAGATGGACACATCAAGATTGCTGACTTTGGGGTCAGCAATCAGTTTGAAGGAACAGATGCTTTACTGTCTAACACAGTGGGAACACCAGCCTTCATGGCTCCTGAGACCCTGTCGGAGACACGCAGAATATTTTCTGGAAAGGTAAATTGCTGGTTGATGTGATAAAGTTGTATGTATAGTTATATAGCAATGATGTAAAAAAAAAAAATATATATATCTATATAAAATGCAACTTGTTATAGTTGTTCAGTGATGATAAAATACAACTTAGAATTGTGTGTTGTTGTCATCAGTCATAAAGGAATATTTATGTTTAAAAGTGAACCTGTGCTTTACCTAGGCAGAGCAAATGGTTCACGTACCTGTTGCGCATATTCACCAGGCGGGTCCTATTTTGTATGGAGAGCCTTTAAATCACTCCCCTCACATGAGAAAACTCTTGGACTAGGTGATTAGCCACTCATACAGGCTGATACATGAGGGGGGGATAGAAAGTCCTTAGCACTTCCATTGTTTGCTTCCTGCAGCTGAACGGTGGAATAGGGAAGTGAAGGTAAGGCAAGTATATGTAGTTGGGAAGGGGGGAGTTATTTGAATCTGTACCTGTGGGCAAAGCTCAGGTGTATTTTATAGGCAAAAAAATATAATTTGCACAATGCACAGGGTGTGTAAATTATAATAGAAAGCTGTAAGCCGGGGTGCTTTTATATCAGATGTGTTTTTATAAGATTTTTGTGCACTTTGGCTTGTAGCCTTTGACTGGCCATATAATTAGTTTTTATTCCATTTTTTTTTTTTACATTTTTGATTGCCAGATGGAATAATTCACCCGTTTACACAATTTTCAACCAGAATTTATTTTCACAATATAACTTGTTTTCACACGACAATATTATATTTTATTTATTTACACATGCTACACATATTTTGCGATATTTACATTGTTAACTTAATATTTAATCATTTTTATTCACAAACACATTTACCTTCCTTTTTTCGACTTGTATTTTCATTATACAGCCACAATTAGGATTTGATCACTGGCACTGTATTTAGTTTGTGTTATTTTCACATTTTCATACAACTTAAAGACCAATTAAAAGGTGGAGCACACACAACCAAGCGCAGCACCCCGGCTTACACTTGATCACGTTGATAGATATTGCTGCAGCTGGTTAATTTCTGTAAATATATCCTAGCGCAACTACCCTGGTTACAATCTATAATAGAAAGCTGTTTGTTATGTGTGGAAGGCTGCTGCAAAAATCTGACTTTGCAGCATGCCGGCTCTTACACATTATGCTAAGCTTCTGGGTACTGCCGGGAGTGAGGGATGTGACTCGAGCAGTGAAGTGCTCTGATCGCATCACCTTATACTTCACACTACTTGGCCATTCACAAAATGCCTTGTATTTTTTTTTTCAAAGAATACAAGTCAGTCTGTGATTGGAGGAGGGGGTGGTGATGTGACATCATCCGTTTGGGGAAAAATACTAGACATTTTGAGACTGGGCAAGTAGTGAGGAGGGGCGAGTGATGCGAACAGAGCACTTCACTGCTTGAGTTGCATCTCTCCCTTTTTTGGTGCCCGGAACTTGGCGTTATGTGCAGGAGATGGAATACTGCAAGGTAAGATTTTTATATTTTGGATTCTGTGTCTATGAGCGCCTCTTAGGCTTTTTAGTATCAGGCAACTGTTTCCCAAAGTTGTTTTCATCAGTGAATGCATGCATCTTCATTCAAATGGAAAACGCAGTATTTGCCATGAAAAGGCTGCATTTAACCTGCTTGCCTGCAGATCAGATCTATTTCTGTTGGACGTTGTGTCCAAAGAAATGCAGTACAATGCAAAGCAGCTCAAACACAGCCTCTGAACTGCAATGCGTACTGCTTAATTAAAGTCAGTGGGATTTTGCTGACCTGCATTTGACTTGTATTCCAAATGCATGTCAATACAATACCTGCCGACATGCGCTCTAGGGCTGCCACCTGGTCTTCTGTTCACAGCTTCCCTAAATTCTGGTGGACGGTTATGTCTCGTTTGATGCCAGTTTTGTGCATAAGGTCCTTTAGGTAGCTCTTTGCACTGGAGACAGTCCCCAGTTTCCTGTTTTTTTAAATTGGACCTGTTAGCGAATTGTTTGCTGTGTTGTTCACCCTTCAGTTGAACTGTTTTGGATGTTCCAGAGGTTTACTTTTTTTTTGATGTACTCCTGTGACCCAAAGTCCTGCTGCCCGATATATATTGACAGACCAGAGTCACGCCACGTTCAATATTGTCAGGATCCACCCACAGCCTGATTAACAGCTCTCCCCTGCAGGGAAGAGACCATGAGCTGAGAGATTAGTGACCACATGATTGCTCAGCTCTCGGTATATAGAGCTGGCATGTGACAGCTGCAGAGTCCCACGCCAGCTCTTTATATTGAGAAAATAGGATATATATATACACTATATTGCCGAAAGTATTGGGACACCCCTCCAAATCACTGGATTCAGGTGTTCCATGAAATTTCCATGCTACTAAATATTCCACGGTCAACTGTTAGTGGTATTCTAACCAAGTGGAAGCAGCTGGGAACAACAGCAACTCAGCCACGAAGTGGTAGGCCACATAAAATGACAGAGCGGGGTCAGCGCATGCTGAAGTGCATAGTGCGCAGAAGTCGCCAACTGTCTGCAGAGTCAATAGCTACAGACCTCCAAACTTTGTGTGGCCTTCAGATTGGCACAACAGTGCTTAGAGAGCTTCATGGAATGGGTTTCCATGGCCGAGCAGCTGCATCCAAGCCTTACATCACCAAGTGCAATGCAAAGCGTCGGATGCAGTGGTGTAAAGTACACCGCTACTGGACTCTAGAGAAGTGGAGACGTGTTCTCTGGAGTGACGAATCACGCTTCTCTGTCTGGCAATCCGATGGACATGTCTGGATTTGGCGGTTACCAGGAGAACGGTACTTGCCTGACTGCATTGTGCCAAGTGTAAAGTTTGGTGGAGGGGGGATTATGGTGTGGGGTTGTTTTTCAGGGGTTGGGCTTGGCCTCTTAGTTCCAGTGAAGGGAACTCTTAAGGCATTAGCATACCAAAACATTTTGGACAATTTCCTGCTCCCAACATTGTGGGAACAGTTTGAGGATGGCCCCTTCCTGTTCCAACATGACTGCGCACCAGTGCACAAAGCAAGATCCATAAAAACATGGATAAGTGAGTTTGGGGTGGAGGAACTTGACTAGTCCTGACTTCAACCCGATAGAACACCTTTGGGATGAATTAGAGCGGAGACTGCGAGCCCGGCCTTCTCATCCAACATCAGTACCTGACCTCACAAATGAGCTTCTGGAAGAATGGTCAAACATTCCCATAGACACACTCCTAAACCTTGTGGACGCCTTCCCAGAAGAGTTAAAGCTGTTATAGCGGCAAAGGGTGGGCCAACTCAATATTGAACCCTACGGACAAAGACTGGGATGCCATTAAAGTTCATGTGCGTGTAAAGGCAGGCGTCCCAATACTTTTGGTAATATACTGTAGTGTATATAGCATAGGTTTGAAATATGTTTTTTATAGTTTTAAAACTATTGAAAGTCTATTTATTCTGAATCTGTATTAATTACCACCAAAATGGCTCCATAGATTCCTACCAACAGAAACCTCACAAAAACTCTCAATTAACACAATCTAGAGGCTAGTGATATTTTAGGGAGTGATAATTTGTGCAATGATTTTGTAAAATTAACATTTATATACAAAATACCTTAAAGATCTATAACTGACCCTGCAATAAAATCTATAGTGAATGGAAAACCTCAAAGGCCAATAAAATATATAATCAATATAAGGAGGGCATGCGTGCTTTAAGATGTCCCATTCTTCATATCTCATTGTGACCTGGCACTGCTCCTTCTTTGTTTAATATCTGCAGATAATTCACATCTATGCTTTGAGTAGGAGGTGTGGGAAGTTGCTATGGATACAAAATCTTGTGATACAGTGTACTGTGCATGGCAGGTGTACATTGTTAGCAGATTAACACTTTAATTTTATTACCTTTTCTGTCTTTCTTTTTTTTTTTTTCAGGCTCTGGATGTTTGGGCAATGGGAGTCACCCTGTACTGTTTTGTGTTTGGCCAGGTATGTGTTTTCACGAATAGCTATGTATGTCTTAATTAAATGCCTTTCAATTAAATTTTCTCTGATTTATTTTTAGAACCGTTAAAATATCTTGTAAGTTAATGACTGATCTCGCACAAAGTGTGAGGTCAAAGGTTTACCATAGTTAATAACCTTACTATTTTTCAGCTTTTGTCCACTTGCGTAATAAAATCCTCTGGCGATAGACTACAAGTTAATAATTAGAGCTATATTTTAGATGGAGATGACATCCTGCCCAAACATGGATTAGAAATCACTACAGAATCTGTACATGAAATTAGCTTGAAATTAGAGGTGCACCGAAATGAAAATTTTGAACCAAAACAGAAAATAAAGAAAAAAGTCAGGCCAAAACCAAAAATAATTTTTTTTACTAACCTTTTTTTCAAATATGTTATTCTTATTTATTTTTTATAAACGTTTTAATTTTTTTATATTTTGTTTATTTTTATTAAATATTTTAGTTTTTTAACTTTACTGGGGGCTTCGGTGGAATATCAGGGGTCTAAACAGATCCCTGATATTTCCCTTTTAAAATGGAAAAAGAGATTGAGGGCACAGAGTCCACAATCTCTTTTTCTGCAGCCCCTTTTATAAATGAACAGGAAGCCTCTATACTGAGTGTTCCTGTTTATTCATAAATTGTGGAGATAGTATGTTTACTATCTCCACAATCATGAATGAACAGGAAGTGATGTAGATCACTTCCTATTCATTCATAACTGGTATATAGTAACTCATGCTATGTCCAGTTATTTACAAACATTCAGTGATCAATGATTGCTGACTCCTTGTGCCACTCTCCATCCTGGATCGGCTTTCACAGGAGGGTGAGCTCTGTCTATTTTGACAGCTGACTCCTCCCCCTCACTGCCTGTTCAGGTTCCTGTGACAGTGCACGGCTGTCTCTGGAGGAGTTCCCAGCCTCCTGTGACATCGCGGCTCACAGCCCCACAACGCTCGGTCTCCTCTGACAGTTTCTGTCAGAGGAGCCCAAAAGTGCCATTTTTGGCCGATATGTTTCGATGGCCGAAATGTCAGTGCATCCCTACTTAAAATAAATAGTGTAGAATAAAGCTGGCCAAAGCCATTATTCTATACTATTAAAATAGACATTTCAAACCACTCCAGATGGCTCATGGATTGGTCTGTGATGGTAGGTTTGTGCCACCAAGGTTGGAGTGGGTTGTTTCTTAAAAAAGAAGGTTCCAATTCAAGCATACAGTAAGATACAGGGGACAGAGGTGGCTCTTCTTCCCATGATCCCTGGTTCCCTGCGATCAATTAAGAAGCATATTTTGCTTTTCTATCTAATAGCTTTTTTCTCATAGCAGCCCACACCGTAATTTCTAGATTTCTAGACCATGGAAATCATCCTCCTTACCATCTCATGCCTCTTGGCCTGACATTATTAATGACCTGATGCACATGGAAGACTTGGTGGCCGGGGATCTTTATACTGGGCAGACCACTTTCTGTGTGTATGGACTTGCTGGTCTCCATTTTGACCCTCTGTGACTTTGCGGTTGGACTTGATGGAGTTATGTCTTTATTCAACCTCAAATGCTATGTAACTATGTAGGAAGGGATTTCTCCTGGCTTTCAAGCCAGGTGGAATTACTGGGATTGTGTGTTAGACTCTAGAATCCCTCATTTTGTCGGACATTTCCTCTGTGTGGGAAAAAGCTTTTATGTTATTTCTGCCGGGACAAATAATTGGGCAGGAAGTCAGTAATCTTACATAGAGCAAACTGTGTTTTTGGGTACCTTTCCGTTGGATTTTGACCCTAACACCATAAATTGCAACTGGGATACTGGCCTGCTAAAAGATCTTTCCATATGCATGTGTTATCATGTTAGCTACAGATGCTTGTTTATGTACTGAACAGACACCCCTGGCATCCAGGAAACAGAAGAGATCATCTGGGAAAATCTTTTTCGGATAACTGACTTTTTTTCCCCCTGACCTCTGTCAGTGGGTTGTCTACAGAAATTTTGATAGCCTGTGGAAATTTCTTTTGTAACAAAGTTCTTTTGGCAGAGTTATCTATCATCTATGGCACGCCTATCATAATACACAGCCAAATTAAGCTAAATATACACTTTCTCAGTTTCTGTACAGACTGATCTGTTTTAATGAATGTATAGTAGAAATGTAATGTGTTTTTTCCATGCGATCAGCTTGCTGCAAATGATCTATTAATGTGTTAATGTTGTTTAATGTTAACACTCGTCTTGGTCCAGGGAGGAAAATAACATAGTTATACTTACCCAATCCTCCTTTTAGACTGAACCCTGGAGCCTCTCTCCCTCTCCACTGCAGCAGTCTAAGGTCCGTGAGTCATCTATACACTGTGTATTGGACATGAGGACACTGAGGGACATACGAGCGCCACAGCTGAGGAGGACCTTGTTATTTTCCTCCCTAGATCAAAACAAGCACTTAACCATTGCAGTGCAGGGGTAGCCCAAGGATTACACTGCAAGGGTTAATTATTATAATTATACAGGATTTATATAGCGCCAACAATTTGCGCAGCGCTTTACAATATAGGGAAGACATTACAATCACAATACAAATCAAGACAAGATGGTAAGGAGGGCCCTGCCCCTGAGGGCTTGCAATCTAAAAAAAAAAAAAGATTATTTGGAGTTCTGCCCTATAAATTTAAATATATATATATACAGACAACTGTATGTGTTTATTCCAGCTCTGCTTCCTAGTTTAAAAAGCTGCACAATGTTTGTGTTTTACTTCTCTTCTCAATGCAAATCTATGATTTGGCTAACTCTCAGAAAACAATGCACTCCCTGTGAGGCCATTTATGGCCCAGAGGTATACATTGGAAATTAAACATGTTTTTAAAACCTGAGGACCGCTTCTTAATATACTACAGATGCGTGAATACATAGGTAATTGTTTTGGAAAGGGGAGGTAAAGGTGAACTAATGTTTTATTGTAAACACTGCGGTATTAAAATATTATTATGCACAAACAGAAAATTTACTGTACTTTCCATTTACGGAACTCATATGCTTACTGGAGTTTAAAAACCCGTAGATATCACATGCTTAAATACATGTAAATGTATTGGCATCTATTTGTAAATCATATACATGTACTGCATAGTAGACTGCTTAGTATTTACTGTTGTCTTAAATGTTTTCAGTGCCCATTTATGGATGAGAGGATTTTATCACTTCACAGCAAGATAAAGAATCAGCCACTGGAATTTCCAGACCAGTAAGTCACACTGTGCCCTATTTGTAGTATGGTAGCTCACCTAACAATAAGGAAAATACTAGTGATACAACTAGAAAAGGATCTGATTGCCTGTTGTAGTCACCAAAGACACAATTTTCTCTACTACCACCAATAGATCATCCTCAAAGCCTATGCTGCTTAAGCTAGAGTTATTGTACAGTAATGAAAAAAAAACAGCTTTAAATATCTTCTCTTAACAGGCCAGAAATATCGGAAGACCTAAGAGATCTAATTGTGAAGATGCTAGATAAAACCCCAGAATCTAGGATTAGTGTACCTGATATAAAGGTAAGCTCAATGTCTTTCTGCATGACCTTTTCATGTGAAGGTGCTCGAACATGCCCGTAAACCCATGGAGGCATGTATAGCCAAGAAAGTATTACACATGAAATTCACATAAGTGTGCATGTTGACTGTTGTGCACTTCAAAGTTGAGCTATAGCCAATGAGCCAATTCATAATTTATACTTCAGATGCCCCAATATACTAAACATGTATGCCTTATCAAAAAACACTAGTGCGTGGTGTGACCTAAAAGACTTCATTCATGTACCCTGGGTGTACCATGTAAGCCTTTGTCTTCTTCCCTTCCTGCTGTCTTACCTAAAAAAAATCACCGGGCCAGCATTTGGTTTGGGCACCACGTACCATACTGCTGCATAGTCAAAGACAGCTGGTTTCTACATGTAGGTGGCAAACAGTGTTTGCGGGATTTTTTTAATAAATACTTTGTAACAATATGATTGTTACAAAGTATTTGGAATGGTCCAAAGGATTGTATTTTGATCTGCATATAATGTTTTTTAAAGCAACCTCACAAGTGGGGAAAAAGTGTTTTTTTTTAAATTGTTCCTACTAAAGCCATTGTTATCCCTTACTTAAAGGAGAACTATAAGGTGAGTGATTTTCACTCAACCTCAAAGTTCGAGCCGACATGTGACAATGAAACTGTCACACGTCGGCTCAAAAGATCGGGAAGTGAGCGAACACATGCCGTCGCTCGCTCACTTCTCGACCATGTCCCTGCAGAGAGCCGTGACTGTCACTCATGGCTCCCTGCAGGGATTCCCACCGCTCCGATCCTCCAGTGCTGACTGGTGGAGGCGGCAGGTACAGCTGGCTCTGCCTCTAGATGGGCAGAGCCAGCTGTCAATCACGCCTTTGACTTCGATGCTCCGCCACGCCCCCTGCCATCCCAAAACAAAGTGAGCCGGTCGGAATGTGATCCAGTGCATTCCGGTATCAATCGGGCCGGAACGCACTGGGGCTCGTGTGAACTATCCCTAAATGCTGTATAATAATAATGGCTGGCACATGTTAAAGCCCTATAGATATGTACATTGTGTTATTCTTGCAATGCCTAACCACTACATCAATTGCTATTTTAAGATGCACCCATGGGTCACCAAGCATGGCGCAGAGCCTCTGCCAAGTGAGGATGAGAACTGCACTCTGATAGAGGTCACTGAGGAAGAAGTAGAGAACTCAGTGAAGCATATCCCGAGCTTGGCTACAGTGGTAGGTCTACTGCTTTGTACTGTTATTGTTGCCATTGTCTCCCACTCTCCAGTCCCCAGGCCACACTGCACAGCTTATTGGTATACTGTTCTTGTCACTGAGCAGGGATTATTGAATCAGTAATAGTGACTTATGAGCTTCCTGGTTTCATGTTCAAATGATTAAAGTTTGAATCCCTATTGTAGGGGTAGACAGCTCCAGCTGTGGTGAAACTAGAAATAACATCTACCTCTGGGAGTCATGTCAGTGGCTGTCAGTCTTGCAATGCCTTATAAGAATTTGTAATTTTACCACAGCTGGAGTGTAGGGGTTGCCTACCCCTGCCTTATTGTACCCTGCCAGCGATAATTTACTATTTTCTTTTCCCCAGTCCTGTGTAATAGAAAAAGAAAAGAGCACTTATTATTTCCTGTCAACATTACTGAAGAGTTCTTGTGCACATTAAGCTTTACACTCTCATAGATTATATTTCCCTGGGACCTAAAGTGAAGGGAGATCTATACAATGGTATATACAGCAAAACAAATCTGAAAGGGGTATTAACTAGGGATTAGCCGACATGTGACAATGAAACTGTCACACGTCGGCTCAAAAGATCGGGAAGTGAGCGAACACATGCCGTCGCTCGCTCACTTCTCGACCATGTCCCTGCAGAGAGCCGTGACTGTCACTCATGGCTCCCTGCAGGGATTCCCACCGCTCCGATCCTCCAGTGCTGACTGGTGGAGGCGGCAGGTACAGCTGGCTCTGCCTCTAGATGGGCAGAGCCAGCTGTCAATCACGCCTTTGACTTCGATGCTCCGCCACGCCCCCTGCCATCCCAAAACAAAGTGAGCCGGTCGGAATGTGATCCAGTGCATTCCGGTATCAATCGGGCCGGAACGCACTGGGGCTCGTGTGAACTATCCCTAAATGCTGTATAATAATAATGGCTGGCACATGTTAAAGCCCTATAGATATGTACATTGTGTTATTCTTGCAATGCCTAACCACTACATCAATTGCTATTTTAAGATGCACCCATGGGTCACCAAGCATGGCGCAGAGCCTCTGCCAAGTGAGGATGAGAACTGCACTCTGATAGAGGTCACTGAGGAAGAAGTAGAGAACTCAGTGAAGCATATCCCGAGCTTGGCTACAGTGGTAGGTCTACTGCTTTGTACTGTTATTGTTGCCATTGTCTCCCACTCTCCAGTCCCCAGGCCACACTGCACAGCTTATTGGTATACTGTTCTTGTCACTGAGCAGGGATTATTGAATCAGTAATAGTGACTTATGAGCTTCCTGGTTTCATGTTCAAATGATTAAAGTTTGAATCCCTATTGTAGGGGTAGACAGCTCCAGCTGTGGTGAAACTAGAAATAACATCTACCTCTGGGAGTCATGTCAGTGGCTGTCAGTCTTGCAATGCCTTATAAGAATTTGTAATTTTACCACAGCTGGAGTGTAGGGGTTGCCTACCCCTGCCTTATTGTACCCTGCCAGCGATAATTTACTATTTTCTTTTCCCCAGTCCTGTGTAATAGAAAAAGAAAAGAGCACTTATTATTTCCTGTCAACATTACTGAAGAGTTCTTGTGCACATTAAGCTTTACACTCTCATAGATTATATTTCCCTGGGACCTAAAGTGAAGGGAGATCTATACAATGGTATATACAGCAAAACAAATCTGAAAGGGGTATTAACTAGGGATGTCCCGATAACACTTTTTCAGGACCAAGTACAAGTACTTCCACTAATGTACTTGTCGATAACAATTACCGATACTTTTTCGTAAAGGGACAGGTGACATTTTTTGCATGCCTGATAACACGCTTTTTACTGTCACACCTGATATGGGTACTCATTGGCTTTAATGTGCTATGAGTCCTTATTGACTGTCTTTTCCTGTGAGTGCCCACTGACTACCCCTTCCTATGGATGTCCACTGACTGCCCCCCACAGATGGGTGTTTACTCTCTGCCTTGTCCTTTGGGTGCCCACTGGCTTTCCCACTCTTGTGGGTGTCCACTGGCTGCCCTGTCATTTAGTGCCCACTGACTGCCCATAGGGTAGGGGCGGCTGCTCCATCATGTCCGTGCCCACTGTTTCGGTTCACTTGCTTGTCAGCCGACTCAGCAAGTGAACCGAAGATTCGATTCATGAATCGGTTCTTTTTAATGAACTGATGCAAATGAACCGATTCATTTGAAAGATTTGAACTTCCCATCTCTACTCGCATGTGAGGAGGACGTCTGCGGCACTGAGCGGAGTTGCGACGCGTCACTGCTGTGGGCGGAGCACCAGGTTGAGTCCTCTGGGCAGTCGCCGGCCTCCTACATTAGGACCCAACCTGGAGCTCCGCCCACAGCAGCGACGCTCCTCCGCTCAGCCTGCCCAGAGGACCCCACCACGGAAGGTAAAGTAAGAAAAACAAAACAGCGCAAGCTTCGGCGCTATGCATCGGGGCATTTTGACAAGTACAAGTACTTGTCAAAATGCCCTGTATCGGTCCTGATTCCAATGCTAGCATCGGTATCGGGACATCCCTAGTATTAACCCTTCCCTACTCTATCCTTCAGTGTTTTTTATGAAGTTTTACTTTAAATCTGAGTTTTCTGCTATAATTAATAGCAGCCCATAAATGCTTGCGTTAACACTGGCCCTTTTGGCAAAGTTGCTTCTAAACCCAAGGAAATTTCCAGGTCTCCTGTGACATATGCTGAGAACTCCTCTGCACCTCTTATATTTCGTATTATTTCCTAATATCACTTTTATTGCCTTTTTTTTGTAACTGCATTCATTCTGTGCTGGCAATAATTCTGCTTCTGTTTGGTCTTTTCTCTATTCTTGTATAATAGAAAAAGAGTAGAACCCATCCTTTTTCTTGTCATCATTTCTTCAGGGGTCTTATGCACATTTATCCTAACACTCTTGGAGAGTATGCTCCATGTCTCTCCCTGCCCTCCTCCTAAATGTGGCACTCCCATTCATCCCACCTCCCATTACATTCTTGTCTATTGTGGCTGCTTCTCTAATCCTTCGTTGTCATTTTGTGTCCCACTGGAGTTTATATAATTGCATTACCAGGAAATCTAGCAGAAAACATACACGCACAGCACAAATAGTACTGACAGGCAATAGACATAACACATACAGACAGAGTACACACACACAGAACAGGCACAAAGTCGGAGCCTAGACAGAGCACACACACAGCAGACACAGAACAAGCACAGTCAGAGCACACTATCACCATCAACACACATCCAATACAACAAGGTGCGTATTCCTCATATCAGGACACTGGAAATGTAGAGCATTCCTTCATGCCCCATATACAGTCTAAACAATGGTTTCGAGTGTGACCATTATTCACAAGGCTTACTACACAGAAGCCATGGTTTCGATGCCTTGTACTGAAAATGGCCAACACACCTTAAATATTTAGATGCAAGTAAGTGTGTAAGGTTTATATATCATGTAGTATATATAATATAATTGTATAATATTTTTTCTAAGATGAATATCCTGCTACAGGAATTATTTTCTTAATGTCATAAATCCTCCATTACCTTATGTGATGACATGTTCAGAAGATTTTCCTGCAGCATTTTATTCATAGAGTAAATTGTAACTGTAAAGGTCATTATTAAAGGCACTTGTTATCTCTGAGTTTATCAACCCTTCAGCGACTAAGTCACTTCAGCAGTGATGTAAGGGTTAGAGGATGGAACCACAGTGCACGGTGGGTGACACTGACATCCAACACTCCAGCAAGTGTTGAATGCAGAAATGTCTGTTGGAGGCTGCCGTGCTTCAACAGAATGCAGATCGGTAACATGGGCCACCAGAGGTAAGTATACTATTCACTACTTTATACTACCTCATTTGCAGGGAACTGCTTTGGCAATAAGTAATTTTAAGGTCAATTAAAGTATATGTAAACCCTATCAATAAAATGTTATATACAGTAGTCTATATTTTGTACATCAAATGTTATATACAGCATTTGATATTAAAGCCAAATGTTTTTTAACCTGTTTCAAATGCTGATTAAATAATTTACAATGAATGCCGCTCTTTGATGTTTAAAAGTTTTAGCTTCCTGCAGAATCAGCTGGCTCCTATGGAGCCACGCTTGTTTGTGCTAGTAAGCTGTGTGTGTCTCCACAAACACACAAATGAAGTAACAAGATGTCACCAGCACACTGAAAATATATGTGAACCAAAAGTCCTTTATTGACGCATATTGTCACATAGATGGCAATGTTTTGGGGCCACAAACACACAAGCACAGCAAGCCAATCCACTCCTCTGCTCTCTGCTTCTCCCTCCTCTGTTCTCCAGTCTAATAGATGGACAGCTGCTGGAGTCCGCTCCATCCATTGTGTTCTTGTACTGGACACAAAGTTCAGGAAAGCAGAGATGAGAGAGTTGGAGCTGTTCAGAAACATGATGACAATAAGTGCTTGGGCAACAATGTAAAGAATTACATTGGGCAATGTACCGTATATTTGTTTGACCTGGATTCATAATTGAAAAAAGTTAGATTTATATGTTTTACAGCGCTGCATGACGGAATAAATGTCAGTCAAAGTACCGCAGCGCTGAATACTGAAAAATGGCCTGGATGGGAAGGGGGTTTAACACCGCGGATGTCAACTGGTTAAAGTAGCATCAAGCTCAGATTTCATAAGCCAATTTCACTCTTATGGAGACTGTAAGTGGCTATGCTGACCCAGCGTGTTCTGCTGTTGTCACCATCAGGAAGCCCACCCTGAGCAATGCTATGCAGCCATCGCTGGAATGCATGCATGTACACTGAGTGGCCAGATTATTATGACCACCCCATCAGTACTTCGTTGGGCCACGAGATGACTTTGTTGGGCCGCCTCGTGACTCCACGAGATGTTGAAAGGGGATGCGAGGAATCTGACACTGCACTGTTGCCCTTCTGTTGTCTTGTAACAGTCTTGCCACTCTCCGTTCTGCCCTAACATTGACTAGTCGCTGACGGCCACAATTCGCACGTTCAGACCCAGATTTTCGGCTGACAGTCTAGTCTTTAACCACTTGCTGACCGCGGTGTTTACACCCCCTTCCTGTCCAGGCCATTTTTCATTATTCAGAGCTGCGGTACTTTGACTGACATTTATTCCGTCATGTAGCGCTGTACTGAAATGAATTTTATACAATTTTTTGGGGACAGATAGAGCTTTCTTTTGGTGGTATTTAATCACCACTGCAGTTTTAATTTTTTACTATATAATGAAAAAAGTACCGAAAATTTGGGGAAAAAACAGTTTTCCCTATGTTTTGTTATAAAACAGTTATGTTACCCAAATTTTTGACTAAATATAAAAGACGGGGTCACATCGGGTAAATAGACACCAAACATGTTAAGCTTTAAAATTGCGTGCGTCCGCGAACTCGCAAAAACTACCATACCCAAAATCGTCCATAGGCGACACTTTAAAAGCTTTTACCGCTCATCAGTTTAGTGTTATCAGTGATTGATGACCCTAGACTTATTGCTCTCACTGCGACGTTCGCGGCGATACGTAACATGTGCGGCGTAATGGATGCAATTGTCGTTTACGCACTTAGGCGCACTCGATGCATGTTTGCATGTGTATGTGGGGGGCGGGGGACTTAAAATTTTTTTACTTTTTTTAAAATTACCTTTATATATGTGACTTTTATTTTTTAAATATTTTTTTTAACTAATTCTTTTAAACATTTTTTTTCACTTAACTTTATTGCTATCACATAGGGGACTAACAAGCCCCCTTTGTGATAGCTAATTTTCAGTGACAGGTCCTCTTTATGGAGACATCAGGGGTCTTTAGGACCCCTAATGTCACCTAGGGACCCCCAGAGAAGCTGATGAAGCAAACACCTGCTTCACCAGCTTCTCTCTGGTTTCTGTACCGGAGAGTGACACTGAAAGCAGGCAGTGATGTAACACACATCACTGCCTGCATTCCGAAGAGGAGGAGGAGATCAAACGGGGCTCGTGTACAGAGCTCCGTTTGATCTCCGGCTGCAGAGCTGCTGTGCTGGTCCCGGGCTCACACCGGGCACAGCGGAGCTTGGGATCGCCAGCTGCGGCGGAGGGGGGCGCACACCCGCACACATATTACAAGCGATCAGGCGTCTCTACAGACACCCGAAACTTAATCCTCCTGTCCCATCGCACTCCTGACCGGACAAAAACCCAAATCCAACCGGGTGGGTGCCTCCGTGAAATGTAGAAAATAATGAAAGGAGTCACTCGCACTACATGATATTAAAGTCAATGCTGTTTATTGACTGAGATAACACACATCTCCTTAGCGACGTTTCGAGACCATGCGGTCCCGTCCTCAGACAAACAGTGACTACTTTCATCTATCTACAGACACCCGAACGCTTGTATGTAAACAGCCATCGCCAGCTGTTTACATTGCAGGCTGATTTCCCGCTTTAAAAACGCCCACCCGCATTCAAGAAGCCGCTGTCCGGCCGTTTGATTACAACGGCCAGACAGCAGGTGGTTAAACACTTTAACAACAGCTGCTCTTGAACATTTAACAAATCTTGCTGTTTTGCTGATACTCACTCCATGGCTCCGAGCGCCAACAATCATCCCACGTTCAAAGGCTGTTAAATCGTGTTGTTTACACATATCTTCAGAAAAAAATCACTTCTACTGTCGTGGTAAACAACCTGCTTCCCTATTTATAATGGTCTGGCCCTCTAGCAACTTCAGCGCAAAATTATAGCTAATTTGCCTACAAACGTCAGGTGGTCATAATAAACTGGCCACTCAGTGTAGATAGGAAGTGGCTGCAAGAGATCAGCTGCACTTAGCTGGGAAAAAAACCAATATTGTGTGTGTGTATATAGAACGTTATTCAGTTAGGGCCCATTCACATTGTTGCAGTCCATTAACAAGCATTATTTTGTATGTTAACATAAAGGCAGCACATTCATTTCAGTGGGCTGCCAATGCATAATGGGTCCCGCACCATTCTTTTCTACACAGTGTACCACAACTCATGGTATTGTGTTACAGTGAGTTGTGGTGTGTTGTTTTAGTGTGTTTGGGTGTCATTGAAAGTAAATGGGTGCCATTTACTTTCAATGATGCCCAAACATACTAAAGCAACACACTAAAGCAACACACTGCGGTGCGCAGTGCACTAACTTGCCTATTGTGCATTGCAGTAATGCGTGTTACCGCATGTGATTACAATGCATAGGTGTGAATGGGCCCTTAGATCTAAATTAGTATTCGATTGATTGATCAAATGTATTGAACTGTGTATGTTGTGAAATAAGATGCTGTACTCAGTTGTAGCCAGGCCAGTATGGCAGAATTGTGTTTATACAGAATGAGAGTAACTGGTATGTATATACATATGGCATAATACATCGCTAGGTTATGACATGCTAATATATTAGAAAATCATCAGACATGATGTGCTTGATAAAACTTTTGAAATGTTCACAGATATTGGTGAAAACAATGCTTCGGAAGCGATCTTTTGGAAATCCGTTTGACGGAAGCAAAAAAGAAGAGAGATCCTTGTCCTCCCCTGGAAATTTACAAACGTAAGTGGACCATTATTGTGATCCACCTTCAGTATACTTTGTTTAAAATTCTGTAGCAGCAGCTTGAATAGAAATATGGAAGCTGCCTTTGCTAACTTGCAAGGTCCTTGAAAGTCATCCTGATTTCTATATCGCCCCTTAAAGGACACAGTAATTCTTACACAGTTGAGTTATACTGCTGCCTACAGGAGGTTGTGACACAGGCAAACGAAAAACTGCCCCACAATAACACTGCCTCTAATCGTCACGCCTCAATTGTATACAAGTATTCTAGGAGGTTTTACACATTTTATTTAGTTCTGCTCAAAAAAAAGTCCTATCTAGATTTGTGGCAACTTTTTCATTCTTATTTTTTCACTTTATTTTTTTCTTCAACCAAGATTCTCGACACACCATAGATATTTTTTTCCTTCTCTCAAATACGCTGCTTGTACTGGTCCCTACACAGCAGTTATCCAGATCTACGTATACTCAGCAACAGCTTTGAATGCCAAACCCAGCTAAATTCAAAAATCAGGTAGCTAGTCCTTCAGGTACTGGATTTCGGTTTGTGGTGCTTTTTTTTTGTGCACACATGATTACCTATTAGCCTGAGTCTGCTGAGCCAAGCTCCCTGACACCTTTCTGGTGGTTGAAGTGCTATGTATTACATCAAAGAATATTAGTTTACACAGCCTGTTGCAAAATACAGCAAGGTGAGCCAGGAGAGAGAGCGGAGAGAGACAGACAGGAGAGAGAGCAAGGAGAGACAGCCAGGAGAGAGAGCAAGGAGAGACAGCAAGGAGAGACAGCCAGGAGAGAGAGAGCAAGGAGAGACAGCCAGGAGAGAGAGCAAGGAGAGACAGCAAGGAGAGACAGCCAGGAGAGAGAGAGCAAGGAGAGACAGCCAGGAGAGAGAGCAAGGAGAGACAGCCAGGAGAGAGAGGAGAGACAGCCAGGAGGATGAGCAAGGAGAGACAGCCAGGAAAGAGAGGAGAGACAGCCAGGAGGATGAGCAAGGAGAGATAGCCAGAAGAGCGAGCAGAGACAGCCAGGAGAGAGCGAGGGAGGTTTTTTTTTCGTTGGTAGATCTCGTCATTTGAAAAGTAGATCTTAAACACAAAAATTGTGGGCACCCCTGATCTAATCTGAACAAGTAAGTAATCTTTATAATGATCTAATTCACAATACTGGCTTCAGTTCTTTAAGCCACAACAAGTTTGCATATAATGATTTTTGGCTTTCCTCGGCCAGAGACTTGTAAAGTATTGAAGCCGGTAGCAGCCAGTAACGCTAGCTTTTGTAGAATTAGATTAGCAAGGGCAGCCTGCATTTTGCTCATGAAAGGTCCTCTGGCCTGCATTTAGTGGAGGCAGCTAATACGGCATTGATATTAAATCAGTCTCTTAGTTTACTAGGGAATATTGGCATTACCGATCCTCTTTTTGCAGGTAAAATGGCTGTCATTAAGTGTGCATAACATATCTTTTCAGCTGGTGGGGTCTGTATATTGCATATGAACCAGTGTGGGTGTAAATAGAGTGCTCAGATTAATTTCTTTTTTTGATTCTAGAAAAAACAAAACAGGGAAATTATCCGCAAAAGGTAACCATAGTAAAGGTTCTGAAGCAGTCTTTCTGTCCGCCTAACCTAACACAGCTTTGCATGGTGTTCTCACACACAGTCTTACACAAGGCAGGTATCCCCTGTCTACAGATAGTCAAGTAACATGTACTGTGAAGAGCCAGATCATTAGGGAACATGTACACCTGAAGCCTGAGAGATACATTAGTGACATCAAGCAGGGGCTGCCAATGTGTCCAGCAAAAGATCTTTGAACATAGAACATAGAGGTGTAATGAGAGTAGTAGATATTATTGGAATTTGTGTTGTCAACCCTAAGCATCTTCTTCACCATAGCAAATATAAATCTGCCCTTTTATCTCAATGGCAGCTCAAGAACCAGCTTAGCGTGAGGTGTATGATCTGTATTTAGATAGTGGTACATTTTATGACAGCTGGATGTTGCATCTATGAAAATGGGCTCTGGGGTCAATTCAGAACACTTGTTTTAGGTCTATGAATAATTTAGAAATGTACCAGAATAGACCTGTAGTGTTCACCTCATATGTTTTACCAGCAGGGAATTTGATATCACTTTGTTTATAGGCATACAGGAAACAGTCTGTGTAAAAATAGAATCATGAAATCTTACAACAGACGTGGATTCACCACATACTACTTACATTGTACAGAACGAAGTTTGACAACAATTTGAATGTCCTCCCAGGTGATCACATTTAACCATCAATGTGACAAACCTGTGAACCAAACCAAACCAATGAAACTGTCACAGGTCGGCTCAGTAGATCGGGAGTGAGCGAACACATACCGGCGTTCGCTCACTTCTCGATCCTGTCACGGCTCTCTGCCGTGACAGGGGAGGGACTAGATTCCCCCCTCCGATCCTCCAGCGCTGACTGGCTGAACGGATGTGGGAGGGGGCGGGTACAGCTGGCTCTGCCTCTAGATAGGCAGAGCCAGCTGTCACTCACGCAGCTGGGCGGATCCAGACATAATTGTCGGGATCCGCTTCAGCTCTGGTGTCTCAGTATACCGCGAGCTGTAGCTCGCGGTATACTGAGCTTAAGGTGATGGGAGGACGCTAGTTTGTGTCCTCCCGTTACCCTAAGGAGAACTATGGGGGAAAGCCCTAACCCCATAGTTCTCCTTTAATACTGTTCCTGCTGTGGGGAAAGATGAAAGAAACTGATATGATGTTCTAATATTGCCTTGAGGCCATTATCTTCAGGCCCAAACTGGCAGTGTGGACACCCTGAAGTTAGGCTGAAGGGCCGGTGTGTCCAAATGTATTAGATAGCTGGTGTGAGCTCTCCTGGATGGCCCAGGCCTGTTTTAATAAAGCAGTACGTGGTCCTTCTTTACCAATACTTTAGAGTTGAACCAGCACATAAGTCTTACTGCTCCTCTAGGCACAGCAACATTTTGTCATATGAACGCTTTTAATCTTCACTCAGGCCTGGTTATCTTGTTTCCTTTACCTTTCTTGTGTTTAAGGCACCACACACTACATTAGGTGACTGCAAAAAGAAGCATACCGGGGCACGTAGTTTTGTCTACAGTCATTATATAAAGTATTATAAATAAAACCATACTTCCCTTATAGATCCCGCTCCATAAAAATTGCCACCCGCCACCCTAAGGACTCTGAAAAAAGGTCCATTAGCTGTATTTCCTTAGCTTGTGGATTTGGTGGTGTTTTTTTATCTTGCTTCTCTATCTGCAACTAACTTGCTTGACTTTCAGTATCTTGAATTATCTGTTTTGGCTGTTATGATGTTTTACATTATACACAGGCTGCATAGAAGCTTCATTACTTTCTGGAATCCAGGTAACTTTGTCTTTAATTCACAGGATCCAAGGCAACGATGAAAGCTTGAGGGAGAGCGAATTACAAGAGGTTGGAGAGGATGAAGTCCTTTCCTGAGGATCTCTGAGCAGAGATGCTGTGGTTTGGGATTACCATCGGTGACAGACGTGTGTACACGCCATGTATAAAATGAAATGTGCATGCTATGTGCTCAAGAACACCTTATGTTGCTGCATGCGCTCATGACCTTAATGTCCTGCCTTGGGTTGATAACTTGTTTTATGGGCTCACTCTTCCAGGTGACTGCTGGTTACTGATCCAGAGACGGTGCTTTTATTGTAGATATTGCAAAAAAAAAGTCAAAGTGGCTTGTAGCATGTCTTAATGATGCCAAATACGACATATAGTGTACATAAGGCTTTCAGGACATTACAATTTACACAGACAGTGGTCTGACAACACTTTAATGTACTTTATGCCCCGTCGTTAGGGGTTCTTGAATGATACAGGCTTGTTGAACTGTCTTTTGAAGGATCACTTTGAGGTTATATTTTAAGGCTAACCAAAGTGTTTTGTGAACCATTAAAAATCATTCTGATGGTGGCTATCAGATATGCTGGATGGTCAGAGAGCAGCCGTCCATCTTCCTGGCTTTTTGCCAATGGTTATTTTGATATGGATCTAGCAGCAGTGTGTTTGAACTGCTAGGGGGCTTTCTTAACCTATAACATGCCTTGATCTGTTTCATGACATTCACTAATGCATATTCTCCTGCTTACCTATCAGCTCACTATTCATTTATTCTGTGCGCATTACGAATATGAAGGTTTAAATTGCTTGGAGTAAGTACAAAAGGAATGACAAATATGAATTCCAAGGCAGACAACAATACAGCCAACTCTATCTCTGTACATCATGTGCTACATGCAATTCTGTTAGATATTGAACTGCCAATATTATCGCAGTGCTGGAGAATGATTCCTGGCTGGTTTATTTGTATATGAGCTAGTGGATGTTCCCAGTGTAAGGGTATCAGTGCCAACTATTTTGAATCAGTACTGGTAAGCAGATAACTCTCACAAGCTGAGACAAAGGAAGAGTACTGCAAGCCAGTGCTAGCCTTTATTTTCTAACCTACACAAGATGGTTATTTGCCATAAGTGGCACCTAAAATTTCTTTGCTCCAGTTTTTGAAAATTATGTAAATTTAGACATTTGATATCTAAAAAAATATACTTGGTGTACAGATCAGTCTTTGGGAAATTGTAAATATATGATGTATTTCCTGTCTTTTTAGATTCGTTATTAGTAGAGATGAGGCTGAGATTGGTGTGAGTTTACCCAAGCCCGCTCAAAACCACCATCCCCTCCTCCCGACCCAATACATGGCGGCAGTTGCAGCGGGGACGTTCCCCATCCCTTTGTGATGTATAGCTGCGGGTCCGCTGATTAGATTGGAAGGAGGGGGTGGCAGTCAGAGTCTTAAATGGGCTTGGGCAAACCCAGGTGAATTGAGTTTGCACCAAGCCCAGCCTCATCATTTGTCTGATCCAGGAAATAGATATATGGACACTAAACTTATATATGTACTTACTTCAGCTTCCATAGTAAGCAGCAGTGGGACTATGACCACTTACTGTATAGAAGTGATATGTGCTGCAGATGTGTTGTCAGGCTGTCAATAAAACATTGACATCTGCTGCTCCTACAGTCTTTTAATCAAAGCCCTCTCGTGAGGAACATCTTCATCTTTAGGCCTCCCTGGTTCAAGCCATGTCATTGTGCTTCTTACACACAACTTCAACTTGTACAATGATAGTCTTCCCTTTATAGAGGGGCTTTCAGTGCATTGTGCCTCCTGTACTGGAGGGGAATAAATGCACTAGATTTACACTAGCATTACAGAATGTCTTAAGTCAGGACTGGATAAATTCCAGAAACCAGGTAGCCAATGCTCCTTAAAAATTAGAGCTGGCTCCTAACTTTTGAGGTTTTCTCTAGTTGTTTTCAATGGAGTTGGCTCCCTAAAATATCCTGCTGGTTCCTGAATTCCATATTAATCTATCCACCCCTGTTTTGTCATTGTTTCCTGTATGCGACTTGTGTATGCGTACTGTGAGTAATCCCTACAGCCATAAAAGAGGATATACTTGTTCTGCTTCATGGATTTCAGGGACAGTTTGGACTGAAGCTCTGGGAAGGCCCATTGCTGGTACAAAAATAAACAGTATAGACTTCATGAACAGGTACAGGTGGTACCAAGGCACTGGAAAATCTGCTGTGGTGGTACACACCTAACCATAGTTTAGGAAACACTCTTGGATAATACGGACCATAATTACTCCTCAGGACACAACATTGTTAGCTATGTAAGTAGCGGATTTGTTGATTGATATATATGTATATATAGTATATATATATATACCGTATTTTTCGCTCCATAAGACGCACCTGACCATGGTATGAGTGGGAGGTGTGTGTGTGTGTGTGAGAGAGCTGAGGCGGCGGGGCTGACCGTGTACCAGCGTTATTTACCTCTTCTACAATGCTACTGCCCACGCTGGTACACTGTCAGCCCCGCCGCCTCAGCTCTCTCACACACACACATCACCCTGCGGGAGCCGCTGGATGCGTTTGGTGCGACAGCTGAGGCGGCAGGGCTGCTGGTGCAGGAGATTGTCGAGGCCTGGGGGGAATATTCGCGGGGAATAAGACGCACAGACATTTTTGCCCGACCATTTGGGGGTGAAAAAGTGCGTCTTATGGAGCAAAAAATACTGTGTGTATATATATATATATATATATAAAGGCAAGATGACATCTGGTTAGTTGCTGCAAGCAACATCTCCATGTTTCCTTTCTGCAGTTTTGATATCATAACTCTAGAAAGTAAAGTTCTCTTATTCATAGCATGTTTTTATTGCATGGCTCTCCGCAGAGTGGACAAATCTGCATGCTCGTATTTAGGTAAATTGCAATGTACAAGTTGTCAAAATCAAAGATATGATTTGGCAGATTTGCCCAGTTTGTTAAGCGATTACTTCAACTCCATTGCCAGCTGTAGAATTTTCTGTGTATGTTTTACTTCGTTGACGTTTGGTATTAGATGTCTCTCTAACAAGGCAGAGATTCTGGGCTAGATTCAGAACATACAGGAGGGTATATATTTCCTAGGAGGACTCAGAACCCGCTTGAATGTGCTGGTGCCTGTTGGCCTGAAGAGGTTCACCAGTGACAGAGTAAATGACACGTTGTACTTGCTTGTCAAAGTGACGTCCAGCTGGGTGCCTCAATATCATATGGGATTGTATGTCAGGACTCTGATCTGTTGTAAGTTTTTATTTATATATAATTGTATAGCACAAGAACAGTGATATCATATGTGGATAGCATAATTGGTATCTTTACTATCAAACTATCTGGTTTGGTCCTGAAAACAAAAGATGCTAATTCACTTCTTGTTTATAATGATTTGTATATTTTACATATTTTCCTTCACACGCCTGCTTACTGTCATGGAAATTTCATATAATGGATATAAGACTTCATGCCCTCAGATCAGTATAATCCTACAGCCTTAGTATAAGGAGTAAATACGGCCAGCCACTTCTACTACAAACATAAGGTTTGTTCAGTATGGCAGTGTAAAGTGCAGTCACCTATAGCAGATAGCATGTTTCTAGCAAACTCTGTTAAGAAATGTTTTCCAAAGCAATATGGAGCAAACGCCACACACCAGGTTCAGCTAAAATGTCTTTATTCCACGTAGAAATGTCCAGTGATCATCCACTGGGGTTCCTGATGTGTTTCCACCAACCTCTATGACTAAGGCTTCGTTGGGCGAATTGCATCTTCTGATAGCTTGCATGGGATACCACACTTCACACTGCCAAGTCCGTAAATATTTTCAGATGTAGTACTGCCGACTGTGCTTGTGGGGTTTCAGGAAACCATTTAAACCAAGCCAATCCCAGTAGTGATGAAGTAAGTCGCTCACCCCTTATGGTGTATAACAGATAGTAGTTTTCTGTATAACACATCTACCTCCAAGACATTGAGAAGTTAATGCTAGAAGTGAATGAAATACATTCATAACTAATGAAGTCTGATAGTTGGTATTGAGTGAGTGGACAGGCAGGTATGTGTTGATGTATTGTAGGTGAATAGTCCAAAAGGGAACACTTTGACCAAAAAATCATTACTGAAAGGCGCTAGCAGCAATTTGTAAAAAGTTGACTACTACATGTGGGGGAAGTAAAACTAATAAATCAAATAGGGAGGGAAAAGGTAAAGATGGATAATGGAGATGGATGGCTATGTTTTTTCTTGTAGCTAGAGATTATTATCTTTCTAATGCATGTTCAAAAATGGTAAAAATTATTTTAGGAGTTGCTATAGCAACACTTCTACCTTTTCCCTGTTAGTTTTATACACCGGTCCTGTAGAATAATTCATACATCACTTGGCCATTCCTGTGCATAGAGACAAAATTCTGCACTTGTAGAGTAGTAGTCATAGTCATGTTCATTCTGATCAGAGATGGAACCGAGATGTGAATGATCAGTAGAGGAAACGGTACTGAAAAGGAGTATTTTCATGCCCGGGATACACAGCTGTGTTGTACAGCCTCCTATAGAGGCCTACACCCTCACATCCATGTGCATTAGGCCTAATGTTCAGAGAAATGTTCAATGGTTATGCCTAATATTCAGAGTTTAGGATCCAGGGGTATAGGGCAGCTTTTAGGATTGTGAATAAATGTAATAATCTGGAGCCAAAAGGCATGGTTAAATGGGCAATTCCAAATACACGGTAAAAGGTAGAATCTGGGGATATGTTGGATATGCGCAGTGGAGGCGATCGGTCTAGCTAAGTCTTTCCCTAAAGGCGGCCATACATTGTACGATTTTCGTTCGGAAACCGTACATGAACAGGCTTTCGAACGCAAATCGAACAGTTGATGGTACATTACCGATTTTAATTTTTGATATTTTACTCTACAGGTGCAGAATATGCAGGGAGAGCAACGCTAAGGACCCAGGCAAATTGCTCTGGAAAGGAGGACGTGTCTGGACCCATTTTATATACAGAAATGTGTTACTGACAGTCAGCACAGTGATATTTGGTAGCCATAGGCTTTCCCCAGGCAGCCCTTTCACCTATATAAGCTATGCAGAAATCCAGCCCTACATTGTGCATGCGTTTTGACGGATGCTATAATTAACATTGGTTAAAATATCCCCCATCCTGCTCCTAGTTGATGCATCTGTTTGTATTCTGAGGCAATATTCAGAAAGAGACTGAAGCTGCACCAGAAAAGAATGCCATTGTTCAGTAGAGGCAGCCATGTCATTTCAATGGAATGTGTCAGGGAAGGCATATGGGCGGTCACTTTTAATCTTCCTTCACTGCTTAGTGAGGCCCATGACCCAGAACAAGTGTGTGCATATTAGATGCCCCAAAGCCTGATATGTATATGATTTGTTTTTTTTTTTCAATCAATAGCGGATTGAAAAATACAAAAGGATAAGTAAGACAGTCCCAAAGTTTCTACATTTAAGTCAACAATGATAGCTCTTATATTAATATCATGATAGGTTGCTTTTAAAGTCATAGGGACATGTGGATGAAAATTTCTGATAAAAGAAATGTCTGTGTTGCCTACAGCAACCCATTAGTGTATCCTTTTTTTTAACATGAATTTTGATCATGAGAGAGGTATGTAGTTGCAATGTCAGCAGCATATGTCCTTATTTCTTAAAGACTGAAAGCATGACTAACGTAAGAAAATGAGCATAGACAAGTGGAGCTGTTGCCAATTAGATTTCATATGAATAAGTCCCTGATGCCGCTCAAAAGACTGGCCCCTACTCTCACCCAGCAATAAACATTGTGGGCTCCCGAACCTTGTCCTAAGTAACTGCAAAAATTCCAAGACACAACTAATAGGTCCACAAATGTCGCTTGCTTTAATCAAAGATGGGTGGCACAGACCATATCAACTACCTTGATGCATTTCACACAAAGTGCTTACTCATACAGGCCCCCTCCTCCCACTATGGGATTTAAAGTTTATTAAAGATGTAAGCTTTCACGATTCCTTCGATTTCTGCCTCAGACTTTGTACAAAGCCAGTCTGAGGAAGCTAAAGTTTATTAAAGATGCAAGCTTTTGGGATAACTAAGTCAGCCAATAAAGGGTATCCATTAATCTCCAAACTTTCTGCATTAATCGATGGCCAACACTATACTACTGCCAGTAAAGAAACCAAGAAAGTTTGCTCTGGGCAGCACCACTCATTTTCCTTTGTTGTAGTTTCCAGATGCCAGTCCACCATCTTGGCAGCTGCCCCTGATGAACTGGTGTTACTGAATGTTAAATTAGGCTTTGTTTTCATAAATATTATTTAGACTTTCTAAAGGCCAGAACAGTGGAAGAGTGGTGGTGGTAGGGTCTCTATGGTCTGAAACCCAGCCGATCAGCTGTTCTTCCTGTGCTTAAAAGCATCCGTGAGGCTGTTGAAGTGGTCAGCCTTTGGCAGAGTT